ACCGAGGATGGAACCTGCAACCTTGGCTTATTGGGACGACACTTTAACTGAGCTAAGGGAAAATTTTTAAAAATTGAAATTTACATGATAGTGGTTGTACTTTAAGTATTGATTGATTAATAAAATAAAAGATAATTATGTATATTTTAGTAATCACAATAGTATCTATATTCCTTTTAGAATAGTACATATGTGAGAAATAGTATATATGTGAGAAAACACATATTATTTATTCATTCTGCAGACAGTGTTCATACCATATAAATTTCTAGATATTAATTATATATTTATTTTTTACCTCTCAGGGGTTTATGGACTGACTATATATTGGAAACTCCAGTTCTCACATTCTATTTTTTATTTGAACTCCTATTGTTGAATAAATCTTACTCTTTTTGTTTTATAGTATTATCTTACTTAGCTAAAGTTTTAAAATTTTACAAGAACTTTTCCAATAAAAATGACACGTGTTTATGCCAAATTCTGCAAGCCCTAGCTCAGTATATATCTTGCTTTGTAACTGAGAAAGGTGCCTGAAATATTGGTAGCATATAAACTAACTTATCTTCCAAATGTCACAGTTGATCATGGCAAACCAATAACCCCTTTAGTCACAGGAATAAGCACAATTTAATTCATCTTTTCTGTAAACGTGGGTTTTTGTACATGGGTTTTAAATTAAAAGCACACGTGTCTGCATTAGTGTGTTTATGTTTCGCCCTATGAGGCTTGTAAGATTTTTGTGCCAGCTGTTCCCATGGCAAGTGGCCCCTTCCCATGGAGCCGGAGACCTAGAAGAAGCACTATGCCTCAGCCCAGGGCGTCTCCTCTGGTCTATGGGGGGGCCATTCTTTTTCTTTTTTTTTTTAATATATTTTATTGATTTATTCACAGAGAGGAAGAGAGAGGGATAGAGAGTTAGAAACATCAATGAGAGAGAATCATCGATCAGTTGCCTCTTGCACACCCCCTACTGGGGATGTGCCCGCAACCAGGTACATGCCCTTGCCCGGAATCAAATCCGGGACCTTTCAGTCCGCAGGCCGACGCTCTATCCACTGAGCCAAACTGGTCCCGGCAAGGGGGCCATTCTTTACCCTCTGTTACTCTACCAGTCACATGCCCAGTGTTTAGAGAGATTATGTGAATGGGTTTTTGGATCAAAATGTTGTGGTCTTTTGACACATAAATGCTTCCCAATTTGAAAAGTCAGACCAGTTTAAGTTATGAGAAGTGTCAATCCAGCACCTTTTTCTCCTTTTAGGCCTGCATGCTTGTTTTCCATCCAGATCTTGGCATCACCCATCCTGACATAGCTGAGGAGAATGAAGTGATTATTTGTCTCGACTGCTCCAATTCCATGGAGGGTGTGACATTCTTGCAAGCCAAGCAAATTGCCTTATATGCACTGTCCTTGGTGGATGAGAAACAGAAGATAAATGTTGTCAAGTTTGGCTCAGGTGAGTGCTCTTTGACTGGAGTCCACAGTATGCTTCCTCCTCAATATCAGCATATTCATGGGTAGAGGCAACATCTCTCAGCATCCCTGACTTCACCTTTGGTGTGTTCTCACATAGCATAACACAGTGTTCAAGAACTCTGACCCAGGACCCTGGGTTCATATCCCAGCTCTGCCACTTACTAGCTCTAGGTGTCACCTTGGGCAAATTACTTAAACTTTTCATGCCTCTGTTTCCTTATCTGTATTCTGAAGGTAATAGTCTCTACTTCACAGTGTTTTTATAAGGCGTAAACTAATGCATGTAAAGGATTTGAAACAGGGCCTCATTCAAGTGCTATCCTATATAATAAAGAGGTAATATGCAAATTGACCATCACTCCAACACACAAGATGGCTGCAGGGGAGGGCAGTTGTGGGTGATAAGCCCAGCAGGGGAGGGCAATTGTTAGGGAACCAGGCCTGCAAGGGAGGGCAGTTGGGGACAATCGGGCAGGCAGGCAGGTAAGCGGTTAGGAGCCAACGGTCCCAGATTGCAAGAGGGATGTCCAACTGCTGGGCATCCCCCAAGAGGTCCCCAATTGGGGGGGTTCCCTCAGGCTGGGCTGAAGGAACACCCCCCCACACTCCCACCCCCATGCACAAATTTCTTGTACCGGGCCACTAGTATAAATATAACAGTCATCAGCTGAACCAAGCACAGCACCCTTGTTGTCATAGTATGAGGGTCCCAAGGATATGGACAGAACATTTTAAATTAGCACAGTAGTAGAAAATGTATAAGGAATAATCTCTGCAAGAAGCAGGTCAGCCTATTAGAAGACAAGTGATGCCATCTGCAGGTGAGGGGTCCAGGGCCATCTTAACCACCAGAAGAAGACACTTTTGAGATGAGAGAAGGACCACAGAGTGGAGTGAGAGGATATCATGTCCTATTGGTTCCTCTTTGTCATGTAGCAGAAGGCCCAGCCCCTGCTACCTGAGGGAGCCAGGATTTGCTCCTGCTGGCGGCATAGGTCATGGAGAGAGAAGGTGTACCTCTGGTGGCCAAGCTGCCTGTGCTACAATGATACTTGCATCAGGCTTTACATAAGCAATCTGCTACAAGACACATAGTTTGACTCAGAACTTTTTGCACAGTTCTAAGTTCGCACTAGAATTTTATTATTTAAAGAAATATTGTGGTGAGTTTTTATATTTTATATAATTTAAAAATTATCAAAATTTAATAAAAAAATAATAAAAATAAAATAAAAATTAAAATTATCAAATATTGCCGAAACTGGTTTGGCTCAATGGATAGAGCGTCGGCTTGGGGACTGAAGGGTCCCAGGTTCGATTCCGGTCAAGGGCATGTACCTTGGTTGAGGGCATATCCCCAGTAGGGGGTGTGCAAGAGGCAGCTGATTGATGACTCTCTCTCATCGATGTTTAAGTTATCAAATATTATTGTTTGTTGGTGGTCAATAAAGTGAATATTTAATGGTAGCACCTCACACCAATCTTATTATACAGGTTACAAGGAGTTATTTTCATTTCCGAAGTATATCACAAGCAATAACATGCCAGCTGAGTTCATCATGGTGAGTAAACCCACTTTCCTTTGTCTCTGAGCCCGTTTCTATCCAGTTCTAGTGGTATTGCCCTGGAGATCACTATCAGAACGCCCCCCGTCCTTCCATTTTGTATGTTGGTGGGCTCTTTTATTTGACGAATAAAATCAATATGAACTCATTAAAGAAAATTTGGAAATTAAAAAGGGTAAAAAGAAAAAAGAAAAAGAAAACCTCAGCTCCACCACCCAGGTACAACCAGCATTAACAGTTTTGCAGTGTCTTCTTCTGTCCCTTTTTTTCTTTGTTTTAAGTGGAGCAAGCTCAGAATAACCAGTCACCACTTCAGTCTAGGATGACAGGCCCAGGGGTGTTTGATGAATAGTTCTTTGAAAACCATTAAAAAAGCAGATAAGTGCCAATTAATAGTATTGTAGTTACTTTGTAACATGAAATAAACTCAAAGGTTGTAAATGTAGTTGTTCTACAAATGTGTAATTAGGGAAAAATACCTTTTCACTGACAATACTTCTAAACTCTCATTGAAAGACTTGTTCAGTGAATGACTAGAGTAAATAGTGAATATCACCAAAAAGAGGTAATTTTTCTCATTTCTTGCAGTCTGCCTCGCCTACCATGGGAAACACTGACTTCTGGAAAACACTCCGATATTTAAGTTTACTGCCCCCTTCTCGAGGGATGCGGAACGTCCTCCTCATTTCTGACGGTCACCTCCAGGGGCAGAGCCTGACTCTGCGGCTTGTGAAGAGGCACGTGCAGCACACGCGGCTGTTCTCCTGCGGCGTCGGGTGAGTGCGAGGTTGTCGCTGTGAGGCCTCAGGGAGGCAGCCTGCCTGCAGGCGTCTCGGTGGCCCGCGCAGGGTTCTTGGCAGGTGTGAAGTTGACTCGTGTGAGTAGGAGGTGTTTAGGGTACAGATGGAGCTCTGGGCTGTGAGCCAGACTACCTGGGTCTCACCCCAAGCCGGCCACTAATTAGCTGTGACCTTGTGCAACTTGCTTAATCTCTATACAATTAAGGTATTGATGCAAACACCACTTTTTTTTATCAAGGTAAATGAACTCACATATAGAAAGCACTTAGACTGGACTGGCCCATGGCAAGCCCCACATCAATGTTAGTGTTATTTTGCATAAAAATCCAAATTTCCAACTTATTGAGAAGCCCATGGCAGTTTCTGACGGGGGTTGAGGGGGGCTGCTGCCTCAGAGGCCCCACCTAGCTGCCCTGCTCCTCACAACACCTCACTGGTGAGCTTTCTGTGAGGGTTGCCTTGTCAAACCCTGAGCTGTACAGAGAATCTCTGGGAAGGTTAAACCTGAGTGTTGGAATTAACCCCCTTCCATTAGTTCCGTATTTTCCGGCATATAAGACGACCCCCTAATTTTACAGTTAAAACGTAGGTTTAGGCCTATATTCGCTGTATAAGACTACCCCCCACTTCCGAGGCAACACTAGTTCTTTTTTAAATTAAATTTTTAATGAATGACATTTTTGAACATACCGTAATATACCGTACATTGATACGATAAATGGAAGGTCTCTTCACAAATGGCAATGCCATGAACTTGACCGAGAAACAAGAAATCCAAAAGAGAACATTAACAATGATGGCATCATCTGGAAAGAAAATTACATGAAAAATTTGCAGAAAATGCTTGTTTGTGACTGACTGGGATGATAAGAGGTTTTTCTAGGCAGAGGAGCATTGTGAGCTTAAAATCCTTCAAAATCCTCATCATGTTCTTCTTCTGATATCATAAGTTCATCAATGACCTCTTGTGATACATTTGTAAGACAGTCATCATATGGATCAAATTCCGAATCAGATGGTGTCGCTTCAGCTTCGGCTTCCCCTTCATCTTGCCACAAGAAGTCATCCTCCATACCATCCAAAGAATTTGATATGCCACACTTCTTGAAAGACCCGATTACTGTTTCTTCAGTAATATCATTCCAGGCTTTTATGACAAAGTTACACAAAACATCCAATTGTGGCGCACGCATGTTTCTTCCTTTTGTGAATATCCAGATGATTTTCGGGATTGAGTTGGAAAATTCGTTTAAAGGCATATCGAGACGTTTTTCAGGATATACTCGGCATATAAGACGACCCCCGATTTTCTGTTGACTTTTTTTCGTTTCAAAAGTTGTCTTATATGACGGAAAATACGGTAGCTTTCCTGGTTGAACTGGGAATATGGTGTAAATACAAGGAAAACACCAAACTAAGGGGCTGGACTGGTGTTTGCACGGAACATGCATGACCTGCACCTCCCTGTGCTCTCCCCCTGCAGTCACCATCCTGGCAAGCGGTCACCACGTCTACCCTTCCCCGCACTGTGCTCCTAGGCCCCTGAGCTTCTGCAGTGATCGGGGTCCTCAATGCCCCTGGATGGCCCTTCTTGCCTGCACAGAGGGCTCTTCTCTCTGCCCTTCCTCAGTCCCAGCTCCTAGTCCTGTTCTCTGTCATCTGAGGCCCAACAGGGCATCACATTCCAACTAGGAAATGTGTGCAACCATAACGAACTCCTCTAGGAATTGTTCTAACAGGATTTTACCTGAATAACTTACAGGGAGGTGTCTTCTTCCTGCCTTAGTCAGCACCCTATTTCATCTGCCTAGTCCCAGCAATACCTGCCTGCTCCCCAAACTGTGTGTTGGGCCCCTGTGCTGTGGTCGGGTTCAGACCCTCAGTGCAGAAAGCACAATGTCTTTGCTGAGGGTCTGTCATGGGACAGACCCTGCTCGGCACAGGCTGCAGTACTGTGTGTGGGATACATACAGACAGATAGCAATCCAGAACCTCAAGAGGAGGTGGGGTCCTAAGTGCCAGGAATGAAAGAAAGGGGTTTTGAGGGGATGACTTTGTGCTGGTTGACAAGACCCAAACTGAGGGAGCTGGAATTGTTACTGACTTTCTAGTTTTTAGGATCTTTCTAAATGTTTCTGCCTCATTTTATACATACCCACTTGTGTTCAAAAACTCCAGCAAGATGCTGTGAGTTCTCCAGGCGTAGAGACCCTCCCGCCTGCCATAGTAACACGTTATCTCAGAGTCCACCTACAGGAAAGGTTCCAAGTAGCCTCATTAACTGATGGAATTTATAAAATACAGATAAACTCCAGCTGAAGGATTTTCTAATCAGTGTTGTAATCACCACCAGTTAATTTTGAGGGCTGAAGACAAATCTGATCGTTATCATAGCCTAAATTTACAGGGATCCTCAAACTTTTTAAATTGGGGGCCAGATAACGGTCCCTCAGAGAGTTGGAGGGCCGGACTATATGAACTACTAATTCCTACTGTAACACCTCGGCTGCGCTCACTGCCCAAAAAACCTGGCGGGCCGGATCAGACTCCTCTGCTGGCCGCATGTGGCCCGCGGGCCGTAGTTTGAAAACGCCTGGCCCTAAAACATGTTTCAGAGAGAACTTTCTTAAGCTCTTTTTCTGAAAAGTTGTTGATCATTTCTTTAATATTTCAGGAGGAAACTATAAGAAAATCATTCTTCATAGGTGTAGAATTATTATTGAGAGAAATTTAATAGGACGTTGTCATGTAAATGTCAGATTATCTGTGCTAGAATGAGAGTCACTTCTTTATAGCTTTTGCTATCTAGATGTGGATCAAATTTCAAGATGTAGACTTGATTAACACTTTTGCCAGTTCTAGGCCTTTGAAACTAATTCAGGTAGCTTTGACACTCCTTGAAAGTAGGTTGATCTTTGTCAGTATTCTGGTACCTTTTGGAGGGTTTTCAAAATCATCTGCTCCCTCCTTCAGTAAATCAAGTGAAGAATTTTTGCTTTTATTCTGTTGTAAGAGAGAAATAAGCCCTCTGATGTGTGGGGGCTTAAGTTTCCCATCTTTCACACTGTCTGCCATCTATTTTGTCTCCTGAGCCTTGGCAAAAGAAGAGTAAATTCTTCTGCATGTAATGTCTTCTTTTGAGTTTTGAACTGTGTTGACCTTTTTAACTACATGAACTTCTAAAATGTTTCCAATTTTGTTTTTTAAATAATACCTGTGAATTGTGATCAGTTCTACAGCAAATCGTCATCTCTTAAGGACTCTGTCCCAGTATGGTGCTGGACTGTTTGAATATTTTAACACAAAATCCAAGCATAGTTGGAAAAAACAGGTACGTTTCTCAAACATCTTATTTCTAGTCTTATGTTTACTTGTGGAAATGTTATCTTTGCACAGATCTATTGACAGTAAACTGTGTTTTCATTCATGGAAATGGGAGCTGGAAAGAAGCAGAGACATTGAGGTGTGCACCCCATCCTTGGTGACCACTGATCTTCCACCTGGCAGGAGAATAGTGGGAGCAAAATAGGGTTATTCCCCCAGCTAATAGTTTGATTTCTGCTCTGTAGAGTGTCCTAGATTAACTTTTTAAAGTGATGTATTAAACATGTTTTGATAAAATTAAAAATTTTTTAAACTATAAGATAAAGTTTATTTAGAAGGTCGCAGAGGTAGAAGTGAGTGGCAGAAAAACTGGGCTCAGGAAACAAGCCACAGAGGCAAAAGAAGAGCCACGGAGCTTAAGAGAAAGAGTAAAGGAAACTTGCTTTGGGTGGAGAAGTGGAACAGAGGGGAGAGGTGTGGGCATGCTCCCTGCAGGGAGAGTGCCTAAATTAATTTGTATTGTGGTAAAAGATACATAAAATTTACCATTTTAACCATATTTAAGTGTACGGTTCAGTGATTTAAGTATATTCACAATGTTTTGCGACTATCACCACTATCCATCTCCAGAACTTTTTCATCTTCCCAAACAGAACTCTGTCCCCATAAAACAACTGCTGCCGGTTGGTGTGGCTCAGAGACTGAGCGTTGATTATGAAGCAAAAGGTCACCAGTTGGTTTCCCAGTCAGGGCACATGCCTGGGTTGTAGGCTCAACCCCCAATAGCGGGTGTGTAGAAGGCAACCAATCGATGTTTCTATCTCTCTGTACCTCTTCCTTCCCCTCTCTCTCAAATCAATAAAAACATTAAAAAACAAACAAAAAATAATAACTTCTGATTCTTCCTCCCCAGCCCCTGGCAACCACCCTTGTACTATCAGTCTCTACAAAGTTGACTATTTTAGATACCTCATATAATTGGAATCATACTGTATTTGTCCTTTGATGCCTGGCTTATTTCATTGGACATAATGTCCTCAAGATTCATCCATGTTCTAGTATGTGTCAGAATTTTCTTCCCTTTTAATGGCTGAATAATATTCATTGTCTATATCTATCACATTTTGTTTATCCATTTGTCAGTAGACATTTGGGTTATTTTCACCTTCGGCTATTGTGAACCATGCTGCTATGAGTATTAGTACACAAGTATGGTTTAACACTTGGATTTCAATTTTAGGTATGTACCCAGAAGTAGAATTGCTGAATCATATGGTAATTTTATATCTAATTTTTTTTAGGAATTGCCACACCATTTTCACACAGTGGCTACACCATTTTACATCCCCAGCAATGTACCAGGATTCCAATTTTTCTATATTTTGGTCAATCCTCTTTTTCCATTTTTTGTTTTTATAATAACCATGCTAATGGGTGTGCAGTTGTATCTCACTGAGGTTTTGACATGCATTTCCCTAATGACTCATGATGTTGGACAGGCTTATTAGCTATTTATGTCTCTTTTTTGGAGGATTGTCTGCCCAAGTCTTTGTAGGATTAATTTTTATAACTGGAATCTAAGCTGGAGCTATATATTAGTAATTAACTAATGCAATAATTTTTTTTTCTTTTTAAAAAATATATATATTTTATTGATTTTTCACAGAGAGGAAGGGAAAGAGGTAGAGAGTTAGAAACATGGATCAGCTGCCTCCTGCACACCTCCTACTGGGGATGTGCCCGCAACCAAGGTACATGCCCTTGACCGGAATCGAACCTGGGACCTTGCAGTCCGCAGGCTGATGCTCTATCCACTGAGCCACACCGGTTTCAGCCTAATGCAATAATTTTAGGCTGTTATGTAGATTTAAATTATGTGTTAATGCTGTTATTAAAAATTCTACTTAAAAATCTTTTTGGAAAGTATCCTCCAGCAGGAAGGAGGAGGGAAGAGCTATAGGTCTCAAAGAATAGAATGTAAAGTTTAAGTGTTCAGGAACTATTTTCTGGATACAGCATTGAAAGAGAAATAATTCTTCTTTTACAAATAGATAGAAGACCAGATGACTCGGTCACGATCCCCGAGCTGCCACTCGATCTCCGTGAAGTGGCAGCAGCTCAGTCCTGATGCACCTGAGCCTCTGCAGGGCCCGGCCCAGGTGCAAGCCTTATTCCACAGTGACCGGCTTCTGGTCTACAGCTTCATTCCGCATTGTACTCAGGTAAAGAGGCACACAATTTGTTTTACTGTGGAAGAGCAATGTATTTTGCTAGTAATTTTTCTGTTTTTACCCCTTTCTTTCTCCCCTAAATCAAAATATGCTGACAAATTTTCTCTTTCTGATAGTTAACCAGGGCCCTGGAGAGGCTTTTAATTTCCCTTGGAAGGAGAGAGGAAATCACTGACCAAAATACTGTGGAGTAGAGCCCTAGCCAGTTTTCTCAATGGTTAGAGCGTCGGCCCGCAGACTAAAGGGTCTTGGGTTGATTTCGGTCAGGGGCACCTACCTGGGTTGAGGGCTCAATCCTTGGCCCTGGTTGGGGCATGTGTGGGAGGCACCCAACCCACATGTCCCTCACATTCATGTTTCCCTCTCTCCCTCCCTTCCACTCTCTCTAAAAATCTATGGAAGAAATACCCCCAGTGAGGATTCACAAACCCAAACCCAAAACAAGCTAAGAAGGAATTTTCTTTTCCTGTTTCAGGCAACTCTGTGTGCATTGATTCAAGAGAAAGAATTTTCTGCAATAGTTTCAACTACTGAGCTACAGAAGACAACTGGAACTGTAAGATTCCAAACTTAAACTGTGGACCCAGTGCTTGAAAGCTAATAATAATTTTACATTTTTATAGAATGGTCAGTGTGTTTCCTTTGTTGTTGCTGTTTTTCTATGTTGACATTTCAGTACAAAGCGGACACTTCCTGTCAGTTTCTAATGTAGCAGTTCTTCACCTGGGATTCTTGATTTTAGATGTGTCCATATGGACATGAATAACTAATTAAGTTTGGAATTTTATGCATGAAAGACTTTTAGGGAGCTTCTCATAGATGTCCATGATTCAGTAAAAGTTAAGTACAACTGGACTATCTATTGGGTCGGCAAGTAAGTAATTGCGGATTTTTTAAAGAAAATCAAAGACAATTTTTTCATGGAACTAAATAACTTTATTCTGTAATGTATTGCCCATTTTGATCAATGACCTTTTGCCATCTTTCAGGCAGCATCATAATCCCACGTTCAAAAAACTTCTGGTTTTTATTAGCAAAAAACTGAATCAGGTACGATTTGACATCATCATCATTATTGAAATTTTTACCATTCAAGGAGTTTTGTAAAGATCGAAACAAAAAGTAATCAGATGGTGCAAGGTCAGGACTATATGGTGCATGTGGCAAAACATCCCAACCAAGCTCCATTAATTTTTGCCGAGTGACCAAAGATGTGTGTGGCCTTGCATTGTCATGATGGAATACAACACCTTTTCGATTTGTCAATTCGGGCCGCTTTTCTTCAACTGCATTGTTTAATTTCGTTAGTTGTTCAATGTAGACATCAGAATTGATCGTTCGGTTGGGTGGTAAGAGTTCAAAGTAGACAATTCCTTTGTAATCCCACCAAACTGATAACAAAACCTTCTTTTGATGAATATCAGCTTTTGATGTTGTTTGAGTTGGTTCACCTGGCCTGCTCCACGATCTTTTCTGCTTGATATTGTTGTAAACAACCCATTTTTCATCGCCAGTTATCAGTCGTTTTAAAAATGGATCATTTTCATTACGTTTCTTTAGCAAATCGCAGCTGCTAATGCGTTGCGTTAACTGTGATTCTTTCAGTTCATGAGGAACCCATGTATCGAGTTTTTGAACATAGCCAAGTTGTTTTAAGTGATTTTCAATGCATGTATGTGATACATGAAGCTTCTCTGCAATCTCACGTGTTGTACTGTGACAGTCCGAATTGATTATTGCTTTGATTAGGGCGTCATCAACTTCAACTGGACGACCAGAGCGTTTTTCATCTTTGAGTGAAAAATCACCAGAACGAAATTTGGCAAACCAATTTTGACACTGCCGTTCTTTTAAGGCTTCGTCACCATAAACAGCACATAACTTTTTATGAGCTTGCAATGCGTTTTTCCCTTTGCGGAAATAAAAAAGCAAAATATGACGAAAATGTTCCTTTTGATTTTCCATTTTTCAACGAACGCCAAACGAAAACTAC